ACCAGGAGTGCTGCCTTTATAGAGGCTACAGTCTAAGAAGTGAGAATGACAGTAGTCAAATCACCTGATTCCAAAAATGTTGATTATAAGCTGTGATAAGAGGTACAAAGGAAAGTTATTCCGGTCTTCTGTCTCCAACTGGACTGTTCCTTCCTCTGTATAACCAAACATGAGTCTATAAAACTGTTTATTCTTCATCTCCCTTTGGCTGGACTATTTGAATCTACTAAACAGAGCTTATTTCAAAACAAAGTATAAAACGAGGAGAAAAAAGACACAAATCAAAATTACCAAAACTATTTTCATATATCAAAAGCTCCTGTGTCTTTAGGGTAATACATTACTCTGAAACAACTTAAAAATGCTACCTAAGTTTCTTTCAACTTTAAACTAGTAGATGCTAGATGAACTTCTGTTCTTACCCATTCTCCTCTCCTAACAAAAGGTTGATCAACAGACGCTGAGAGAGTAAAACAACTTTCCCATCCCTCAGGCTCCTGATTTTAGTAAAATCAGGCACCTTTTATCCTCCTAGTCTATGATCAAAATCATTCCCCAAAATAACTTATACTTTTAAAAAAAAGTCAAGACTTTTTTAGTTGGTCTTCAGGACTTAAAATTAAGTCAATTTTCTGTTACATAATTAAATAGCATAGCTTTTTAAAATTATGTCACAGTCTTAAAAACCTTAAGGAAAAAGATAGTCTAGAGCAGCCATTTATTAAATTGGCAAGAACCCATATAAGCCTGGCTTTCAGAATTATAACCAATCTGTAGAATGAATAATTTTTTAAAGTATATATGCTCAGATAACAAGATACCAATAAAGTTGTTAAAATTATAAGAACTATAAACTGAAAACTCAGGGACTGGTTAATCCAAGGTAGGTTAATAGAGAATCATATAAATCTGTGCTTAATGGGAAGTACAAACTGATTTACATTAGCTTATTTTATTATATTTATTTATTTTAAAGATTTTTATTTATTTATTTTTAGAGAGAGGGGAAGGAAGAGAAAAAAGCAGGAGGAGAAACATCAATGTTTGGTTGCCTCTCACGCTCCCCCAACTAGGAATTTGGCCCACAACCCAGGCACGTGGCCTGACTGGGACTCAAACCAGTGACCCCTTGGTTTGCAGGCTGGCACTCAATCTGCTGAGCCACACCCACCAGGGCTACGTTAGCTTATGTTAAAAGATGCCTCCTTATAAAGATGCCTAAAGGCAAACAGATTAGATTTCCATTTTTAAGAGTCTGGCAAGGCATCACCTTGTTATTACATGTGATTTTCATTGTAATGGAACTTACTTCTAACAATACACAAGAGTTATTTATTTCCTTGACCATTCACAAAAGGAAAGAAAGAAGGCTTGTTTCAAAGAACCTCTGAAGACTACAAAGCACACCACCAAAAGAGAGAAATACCTTGCTACTATGCCAGTCTGTACCTTCTTCTGAAAACTGACTTTGAGTACCTAATCAACTTTAATATTCTTAATTCGACTTTACATGCTTTTCAAAATAGTACATCTGACCTAAGCATCTGACACTGCAGAAGAATGCCTTCCTAATTTTTCTGTCTCCACTGTCACACTCCATCCTGGGTTTCCTTCCTATCCTGTCCATTCCTTCTCAGGCTGCACTTTTCTTCACTCCATGTTTAAAAATGTATTCACCAGTACTTTCTTCTGTCTAGTCTCTCTGCTACCTTTCAATTTATACACCTCTTCTTATGGCTACATCCGTACTCAGTTTTAGATCCATGTATTCCAGACCTACATACACAAACCTAGCTAATGAGAATACAATCAAATCTTACACAATATCCTTAAAATTTTATCAGAAATCTCTTCTCTCCGGTCCCAGTATCATTACCTTGGTTCAGGTTCCAATCATTTCTCTCTCTGACACAGCAATGGATGACCTCTTCACTAGTAGTGGGCTCACCACTAACAAGCTGGACCCCACTACGGAAGTGAACTTTCTAAAACTGAAATGTGACCATGCTTCTCTTTTGCCAAAATTTATTGAAGTGTATGGCTTTCAGGAAAAAGTTTTGGTTTACACAGTAAGTTCCTCCCAATATCTCTAAACTCTATCTCCACTGCAATCATCCTTTGGCTTCAGCTAAACTTTGTAGACCAGATATAGTCATTCTCTATAATCCCTGCTTGCCTCTGCATATGCTGTAAACCTAATCTGGGTATTACCCAACACACCTGAATACCTATTCTGACCTAAAGTATTATTTCATCAAGGAAATCCCCCCTATATTCCAAGGCTAATTTAGATACCTGCTCTCAATGCTCACATAAAATTTTCTACCTAAATCTCTTTCATATTAATCACATTCACATATAGGTCTTCTCCATTAGACTATTAACAGTCTCTAGCACTAAAGCCCTTTATATTCCCTGTAACTTACATAAAGAAAACATTCAACAATTGTTGTTTGAAGGAATGAATGAGGATTAAATGGGAATTTAAATTTTGGTGGTGTTATTCTAATGAAAATAAACTTGCTTTTTTGACTAGAATAGTAGTGGGCAAATGCTTTGCTGTCACTGAAATGGTAATGAAAATTTACTTTTCTACCCTGATCAGTGTGGCTCATGGGTTGGGCATCCTCCTGAAAACCAAAGGGCTGTCTGTTTGATTCCTGGTCAGGGCACATGAGGCAATCGATATTTCTCTCACATGTCAGTGTTTCTCTCCCTCTCCTTTCCCTCATTCTAAAAATAAATAAATAAAATCTTTTTTTAAAAACAACTTTATTTTCTAACAAATCCATAGTGCCACAGTGACCCAAAGCATTATCACCTCATCTCTCACTACCCATCAATCAAAAACTGACTTTGTTAGCTAGACAGAAATTTGTTTGTAAGCACAGTCTTGTCCTTTCTGAAAAGAACAAATGACATTGTAAATTTAGATTATTTAAAACAGAATTCTATTTTCCCACCGCACTCTTCCAGTCAATCAGGCCCTGTTCCACTATTCCCATCCTTTCCAAATAAAACTTCATCCCCCTCTGCTTCCTTTAATTTCTTGTTCAGCCAGAGCAAATGTGTGTGTTGGAGGTTTGGGGGTGGGGGCAAAAAGAGAGGAGATGGAGGAGGGTGCTAGAACAGTGTTCATTCCTCTCAACCAAATCTGCTCTGTATTTCATTTCATTTCCATATGTAGTCTGATCACATCCACGCCCAATGAGTTGATCTGAGAAAGGTCCTCCACAATTATCTCCACTCTCTCTTCCACAACCTTGAGGTCAAGCCAAATTTCAGTCTGATTTTAAATGTCCAGAAGGGAAGTAGACTGGAGCAAACTGCTTGGAATTTTGAGGGGAGCTAGAGATTACGAGTTCTACAGGGTCAGTGACCCAGAGGATAACTGAAATGATTCTGTCCAGAAAAATTTACTTCCTCTCACTTTGTCCTTCATTCCTTCTTCCTTCCACCCACTGCAAGCACAAGCACAGAAAAGGCATCAACGTATGAGCATGAATACTGACAGATTAAAAGCTAAAAAAACATGCATTGTACCCTAGCCATTCAAAATATTTTTCTAACAATCAGCATTTGTTGCTCCAAACAATAAAGGAATTTCACACTGTCATTCATGTCCCTTAAACAACACAAACGTTAATGACATAACTTCTATCATGAAAAGCCACGTACTCTTGGCTCACATCACCACAGAATAGAATAAGGTAGACAGTACAGTTAAGATTGAAGATCACAATGAGAACAGCCGGTATCAAGAAACAACTGTAACAAAATTTCCGATTAACCCCAAATTCAATCCATTCTTTACAAAACTATAGAACCTCCCTCTCTCCCAAAAAGAGGGGGAGGGGGGAGATGGATTTAAAAACTTGTTTGATTCTTCTCAGCTACTTGCACGTCCACAGAACTTTTAAGCCTGAGTGTATTCTTTTGAAATAAAGATTTGCAGACCTCACCTGCCAGAAATTATTTTGTAAGTTTTGGAACGGAGCCTGGGAATTGGTATGTTTACTTAAAAAGTTGCCCAGGGACTCTGATCGGCAGCCAAATTTGTCAGAAGTGCCTTTACAAGAAGGGCTCCTTCCAACCCTCACTGACACTCCAGCAGTCTATGAAATTACAGAAGCTCTTCCTACAACAATATGCCAAATCAAACAGCACGACACCTCCCCTAACCCCGCCGTGTCCTCCCGCACCCGCAGGGTTACTGCCTTATTTTCAGGTCATTCCTCCAAACAGCAGTCTTCCTTTCTCATCTCCACCCCTGTAATAACCAAGTAATAAGCAGAAGGGTAACAAAGGGAAACTATCACTTCAATACCCGGAAATCCTGTCACTTCTAACATATGAGAGAAGAAAACCACCTCCATAGCATTCTCACGAAAACCCCCTCTCTCTCTCATTCTAACGTGTACTAAATTTAAACGAAACAAAACACTTTCCAGGGTGGCCTGGTAAGCAGGGTTGGAAGGTAAGACAAGAGCTCTTAGATTTGGAAAGGATGGACGAAGATACTAAAAGGGAGAGAAGGTAAAACTTTAAAGCCGGGCAGCTCACGGAGTGGGCGAGCGGGCCAGTGCCGGCACCTCGCAGGGTTTTGACACTCGACACCCAGCCTTCACTCAGGTTGCTAGGAAACAAAAAGGCTCCACGTTCCCTGCCATTGCTCCCGGGCCGGGAGGAGAGGAGAGGGGCCTCCGGGGCCTGAAGATGCCACAGGGAAGGGCCTGGGCACTGCCCCGGGGGCGCTAAAACGAGGTACAGCCGGAGACCTGGAGCTCGGGCTGAGGGGCCGGGCGCCTCCAGAGGGCCGGGAGCTCGGAGGGAGGGTGAACCGGGCTCTCACGGATCGGGAATGGGCCCTTCACGCAGAGCCGCGCTCGGCTAGGCCACCGCGAGCTCCGCTCCTGTCAGAACGCAGCCCAGGGTCCAGGGCCGGATGCTGGGCCTAAACGACCACCCGGCAGAGCGCAGAAGAGGGGGCGTCTACTCACACGTGCTGACAGGCCGCGGTCCGCACCGGCGTTTTGAGCACCTCCTGACAGACGGGGCAGTAGAAATCATCTTCGGTGTAAGAAGTGGCCACGGAGAGGTCCTCGGCCATGGCGAGGGTGGTGAATCGAGGCGGCAGCAGAGGCCGAGGTGGCAGTAGCGGCCCGGGCCCGACTCCTTGCGTGAACCCAGAGGGGGAGGGGAACCGTGTGAGGAGGTGGCCCGCGCCAGGAAGGGGGCGGGGCGAGGGCGGGGCGGGGAGGGGCGGGGCGGGGCGAGGTCTAACGCGAAGACACTCCGGTTGCCGGGCGAGCTCCTAGGCTGCTGCTCCGGCCAGGGAGGGACCGGGAAGCGGTCCCTGGCGGGAGGCCGGGGTGGAAAAAAACCAGCGATTGGTTTCGCTTTCACTTCTACCCCTAGTTGGTACCCACATGAAGCCGCACCCCTCGATTGGGAGGGGCGCCCGCAGGCCGCGGCCTCCCGCCGGCGGCCACTCCGGTACTGGTACTCTGGCACGCGGCCGCGGCTCCACCCCTACCCTACTTGTCCGCCGGCTTCCCTTCCCAGCGCTTTTAGGCACCTCGTCCTCACCCGGAGTGTCTAGCCCGGAGGCTGTGTCTCCCTGACGCCACCCACTCTTTCCCGCTGCTCCCTGCCCCACCCCTCCAGTCCTCTTCTCTCGCATAGACACTCACTTGGGAGCCCCGCTGTGGCGTGGCCGATGGATTTGTCTCCCCGCACGTGGCGAAAAGAGGTGGCCCTGCGCCGGCCTCGGGCTTGTCCCGCCGCTGCTCCCTACGCTACCGAGGCCGGGAGGGGAGTGCCGGGCACTATGCGCCTCGCTCATCGGCCTGAAGCGGGGCCGGAGCCCGATGTGCACGGTGCACCGGGATCCCACCGCCCCCTCCAGCAACTCTCCGGTGGCATTGCGCTGCCTGTCGTCTGCTGGGCAGGTCACCGAACCCGAAGGGGCGACGAGCGCTGGCGGAGGAATGGGGAAAGGGCAGCCTCCATAGCAACGGCGCGCGGCGCCTTCAGCAGGTTGTGACGTAAACAGCTGGGTGCCCACCTGTATCGCCCCCACCCCGCATTCCTACAGCGGGGACCTCATTTCTCTCACAACTGTCAATTATATTGGGGTTTTCAGGAATTTTTAATCAGAAAATGTCATCCCTAACGTTAAAGATTTGGCCCTTACTACTTGTCCTTGTCATAATGTTCTGATGGTGTCAGGTTGTATTATGAAGCAATAATATCCATTTTGGGATTTTAATCCCCGGGGTGGGGGCAGAAGGGACGCTCCCTTTAGGAGGTTTCGTTTTCGCCCTTAATGTAGACTGATCAGTCACAGCTGCGGATGCAGTCTTACACCTACACCTTTGTTTTGTTTCGGTTTTTGATAGCTTTGAAGAAAAATGAAGTAGAAGCATGGATCAAGACATTTCACCAACGTTATTCACTCTGTTTTTATTTATTTATTTATTTTTTAAATTTTTGATTTTAGAGAGAGGGGAAAGGAGGGAGAAAGACAGAGAAACAGAGATGTGCGAGAGAATGATTGGTTGCGCTCCTCCACCGGGGGTCAGAACTGCAACCCAGGCGTGTGCCCGGGCCAGAATGGAACTGGCGACCGTTTGATTTGCGAGAGGACGCCCAACCAACTGAGGCACACCAGCCAGGGTTGTTTTTATTTTTTAATGAACGCTTAATTTGTTGATATATCCACATAACTGATAAATCTCTAAAATGGAATCAACCACATGAAAAGATTAAGGAGAATCTGGAACATCATAAAGCATCTTCAGTTAGCTTGGAGGGGCAGGAGTTAGGAGAGGTTTCATTAACATGCTGTATTAACACTCTCCACCATGGTGTAATTAAATCAAGAATAGAAGCCACTGAAGGGAGCAGTTAATTCAATTATTTATTGTCTAACATTGTCCTTGGCACTGTATTAGATGTTATGCAGATCTTACAAACTTTGCTCCAATCTAGTTTACACTCTTGAATGTCTATGAAAATAAAAGGACAAAAATATGGTATTTGCAAAAGTATTAAATTTTTCATTAACAGTGACTATATTGAGAGTAGGAAGCGGAATGATTGGATTTGTATGGACTTAGAGAAAACTTTATGGAGGAAATGGATCTTAATGTGCATCTTAAAATTCCTCATAGAGAATAGCACTGAGTTCTGTCTACCAAACTGCATTTTGTATTTTTTTTCCTCTTCCTTCCTAACAAAAACAGTGGAAGTGAAGGATAGTTCATTTTAGCTTCAGACTTCTGGGAAGAGGAAGAGCACTTGATACGAGTGGCAGCTAATAGCACTAGTCCACATGCTTTCCAAATTCACTTATAAAATGGTTCTTGGAGTCCACATTTCACCTTTTTGGTAATATATTTCCAATCATTTCACTCATTTTGACTGCTTTAGGAAGTAAAGTATACTTTCTACCTGATAAAGTGTTTCCCTTTACTTACTGGGAATCTTTAACCAGAATATTCACTTTGTAACTGTATTTGCTTTATTCCTTCTCTTTAATGGCAGCCTTACTAATGCCCTAATTGAAACATATTTCTGTTGCTTTCTCATATATTCTAAGAAGTAATTTGGCATACATGTAAGCATAAAGTCAGTATGTGGAAAACTATCAAAAATGTGGGTATAAGGACAAATTGGTTAACTTCTAAGAGTTAAGCTTAGAAAAATAAATCATAATTGCCAGACAACACAATCTTCTGTCTTGGCAGCAATTCATGTGAAAAACTATTTGATATTTTTATGGCAGTATCACGGATGTACTCAAAATACATTCAGCCATGAAAGTAAAATGTCCTCAGCCTCTGGATAGTAAGAGAAAATCCCTAAAGGTTAGAACAATTTGATAAATGTAGTTGCAACAATTTAATTTAAGTGGTTCCTTTAAGTTTAGGTTAAAGCACTCACTCACTGCATGATCCATCTCTCTCAGTCAGCTCCCACCCAGATGGCACTCTGTAGGATAGGAGGGAGGACAATGGGTAGCTAACAAAAACTTGAGACACTCCTGGGGAATATGGGTCTTGAGATCTGCACAGTCTCCTTTGAATTCTTGCTAGACTTTTCTGCAGTGAGGCTAATTTTGGCTGCAACCTGAGGTGCAATAAGCCTTGGGCATTCTGCAGTTATCTACTAATGAAAGGGCTCTGGCCTAGCTCTCAGCTGGCTCAAGGCTTTGTGGCATGTCCTGGTTGATTAGCCTCACCAACACTTTAGAACCCTCTGAATGTCTATCACAATCATCTTCTAGTTCTTTGACCTTCAACATGGCAAGTGTGTTAGTAGGGCCTTCTACTCTCAAAACAGCACTGTACATGGCATCATTTCGGGTCCTTGCCTCTACTACTCTGGGAGGGAGACTTACTCTGCCCAAACATCCTATGTCACTGGATTTCCATGGAGTGTTGACCCTTACGTTGGTTCTGAACAGCCTGTAAGGCCACATGGTTCCAGCTCCCTATCCCTCAGCACTCCCCTCAACTATCTAACAGACCCTCTCCCCATCCCGGCCCAGGCCTGCGGACCTCCCCTTTTTCAACCACATTCTTTCCAACTGGAAAGAATGAACTAAACCCTTGCCACTTACCCTTACCGATGATTGGGACCTCCTGTATGCAAAATACTCTAATCAAATCCACTAAGCAGGTAGTTAGTACCCCAAAGAGATAAATAATTGAATTTAGAAAGTTAGTTTCTTCCTTGACAAAGCCTGGCTTTGTCTTACTACACAGCATGAAAAGCCTGTTTTTCTGGTAAAAGTTGTTGCCTTTGAAGAAGTAAACTAACTGGGGATCTGAGAGATGGAACAGGAGGGACGCTCATGTTTCACTGGTCACTGGTTACCGTTTGGTATCCTTTCAAATTGGTAGCATGTGCAGTGTTAACACGCAGCTGTTTTGCACAAGTACTGTGCTGCTAGTCCTTTTTCAGCTTTGTCTTTTCTGATTGACCGATTACTCTGTCCTGAATGGCCAGTTGTTAATTTGATTCCAGTTGTTAAATATTTTAAGCATTACTTCTGACCATGTACATAAATAAACTTATTCACTGAAGGCCTATAATTTAATTATTCAAGCCTGTGTTGAAAATGTTCTTCTTTAAAAAAAAAAAATGAACGACATTCTTTTCATTTCTGTTGAATCAATCCTAATTTCTTCTTTTCCTTCCCTCATCCCACTCAATACAAGAGACAGATGGATGCTCAGACTGAATAGGAAGGAAGTCAAGTGAATAAGAATGTGAAGGGGAAACTCTAACAGGCACTGTGTTCCCAACAACATTCATAAACCCCACTTCCATCCCCCGCTCGAACGAATCACGATCATCGTTCAGGTATCTTCTCTCCTTCTCCCAGCTACATGCTTTAGGAGGCAACATTCATTCCCAGCTCAAGGGGAGAAACCATAAATGAGTTGAGCCAATCTGGATGGGCCACTTCCATTTCTTGCCAGTGATTTAGGCATGGCCATATATTAATAACTCAATTATGACCAAGGAGTTTGTGAGGAGAACTCTTCTGAGGGGCTTTAGCAAGTATTTCACTGAAAGGAAAAACCAGACAAATGGGAAGAAACAATTTCATGCTATGTTCGGATGTTGCCCTGTCTATCTGTGATGCCTGAAACTCTGCAACCATCATGAAATCATGTAAATAATATGCTAATGTACTGAAGATGGCACAGCTGAAAGATGGAAAGAATGTCCATCCTTGATTGTGTTGAGACATTTAATTTAATCAACACTGAAACTGCACTGCCTCTTGTTAAACCCTTCTACTTAAAGCCATCCTCAGTTGGCTCTTCTGTCATTTGTACCTCAAAGTGTCTAAGCTGGACATTTGCTTCTTGACTCTCAGATGCATTTCCCCAGTAGTCGCCTGTTCTGCTGTATTGCTGGAGCTCACCCCTACAAACTGTTTCCCTTTTTTCCTTACTAACTGACTTCTTGCTCTATTCGGTCAGTGGGAGGCACTGATGAGAGAGGCTGGAAGGAAGAAGCCAAGGTATTTCTCCCTCTCTGATAATTGTGATTTATAATAAGAAATATATATTGGGTCTTTGTCCCCATTTCTGGCACAGAGCTCCTAAAACCTTTGGAATTTCCTAAGTGATGAAAGTAGTAAAGTGTCTTTTGTTATGTTAATGAGGTGATTTTTGGAAAGCCCCTAGGCTGCCAGAGGAAGGTCACTGATCACCAGAAGAAACAACCAGGCGATTAAAGGGTTGGAATTTTAACTCCCACGCCCAGACCTCCAGGGAAGAGAGGAGCTAGAGATTAAGTTCAATTAAAATGGCCAATGACGTAATCAATGATGCCTTGTAATGAAACCTCCACAAAAACTTAAAAGGACAGGCTTCATAGAGCTTCCAGGTTGGAGATTGAAGAGAGCAGCAGGGTTCTCAGAGATCAAGGAAGCTCTGCACCCTTTTCCCTGTACCTAGCCCTGTTCACCTCTTTACCTTGCTGTTCCTGAGTAATATCCTTTTGTGGTAAACTGCTAATCTAGTGAGTAAACTGTTTTCCTGAGTTTTGTATAGCAAAAAAATCTAACCTAAGGAGCGGGTAGTGGGAACCTCTGATCTATAGCCAATCAGTCAGAAGCTCAAGTGACAACCTGGACTTCCAACTGACATCTGAAGGGAGTAGGTGGCAGTCTTGTAGGGCTGCCCCCTAAACCTGTGGGATCTGACACTATCTCCACATAGTGTTGGAACTGAGCTGAATTGTAGGATGCCTAGCTGGTATCCAAGAATTGCTTGGTGTGTGGGATGCGCCTCTCCACCCACACAATGGAATTGGGTGACAGATTTTACCCTCTCTCTCTGCTTCTGGCAGTGCTTCATTTCTTTCACGGTTTCAGCTTCAGGGAGACGGCTCTTCCCTCTACAGTCCCAGCCCCTCTGGGCAGTCCCTGCTTTTTCTCAGTTGCTTCTGTGCCTGCTGCACTGTCACACTTGGTCTTTCAGCAACTCTAGCCTCTTCATAACTTGATTTTCATATTAAACGTCCTCTTTTGAAGTACTTACTGAGAGTTCTACTTCTCTGATTGGACCCTGACTCATTTTCCTAACTGAGTCACACTTTAGGAGAAGGGAGGGCAGCAGAGAAACACCTCAAAAGTGTTTCTTCTTCCAGAAAAGGAGGAACTGAGTTACTTTCCATTACAGGTTTAAATTTTCCCTTCACAACTCAGCAAATTAGCACAAATAAAAATGAGATTAAGTATAGAAAATACAGGAATTTGTCCTTTTTTAGTGTACCCCAATTTGGGGCAGTTAAAGTTCAATTTTATAAATATCATTATAAATATGCATTGTCATGCTATTGATATTTAATTTCATGTCAGCTGTATTTTTATGTACTATTATAGAGCTGTCATTTTAAATAATATTCCTATTAGTAGCCCTATATGGCGCTATATGTCCTGTGGAATCCTGCCTCCATGTTACAATTGATTAGAATAGAGGTATATGTAGTCCCAATTTATGCCAGTCACACTCTCCCAAGAATATAGAATTCAGATCCCTATGTTCTAATCAGTCTCCATTAAATGCTTCAATTTGGAAGGTGTGAAAATAGCAGCTGTTTTCTCCCTTGCCCAAGAAGAGGAAGACAATCACAAGAGAGAGAACTAACAATGAAACAGACATTCCAAGTGCAGCTAAAGTTTCCCTGAATAAGGAGGGTACGCTGCTGTCTTAGCAGGCAGAACCATAGACTGGACTGGAAATGGCAACAGATTTCAACAAATCAGCTCACGTTCCAACTTTTCTTTGATTTTTTAAAAAATTAATCTTTAAGAGACAGATAGGAATTTGAAGATAAAATATCCCTTGTCTCTATCCCTCTCCCCTCTTTCTCTCTCCATCTTTTTCCCTTCTCCCTCCTCCTTAGTTTTTCTTTTTCCTTTTTTTCTTTCCTTTACACATTTATTGACATCCTCTGGTCATTACTCTATCCTAGGCTCATAGCCAGGATAAAGGCAATTATAACAAGATTAGTTCTAGTGTAAGAGTGGAGGCAAAAGCCTAACACTCTTAAAAAGCAAACAAAGCCTGATTTTTAAGGAAATAGAACCTTCCAGCACATATACAGCCTTCTTTCTGTACATAAATTTCAGGTATTCTGGCCATTCCCCCTTTAATACATGTACATTAACTACTTCCTCAAAAGGAGACAATCTAATTCCATGCCAGCTATGCTTCTAGAAGCAGTGCTATGAGACCGCTATTTTTCCAATCCAATGTCTCTTACGTTTACCTTTAATCGAGTCTTAATCTGGCCCAGCTTTAATATTTTATGATTCTGCAGCTTTAGACTAAATCATAAATGTTAGTCCTATCAACAACCACCTCTATGTACCAAAATGCAGAGCAAATACAACTACAGTGAAAACTTCCATAGAACATGGAGAAAAGAGAAGAAACCGTAGGTTATGTACCATCTGCTTCTGGACAGTTAGTGAAGTAAAGCAGAGAGCCACTTGGTTTCATGGGCATCATTTGTTTGATTTGGTAGTGGTTACAATTCTGTTGGCAACCAATGGGGCTCTTTGATATTGCCTGCTGGGATCATTTCCATTGCCAGGGGAACACCTAAAAGGACATTAGAATCTCTGACCCTATTTGGGGAGAGAGAAGTGGTATATCTCATTTGCAACTCACTTTTTTTGTGGAAGGTATTGGGGTACAAAAATGGCCCAAGGCTTTCTAAGGAAATAAGACATACAGCCCCATGGATTTTATTAAGTCACAGGCCTGTTATACAGTGTTTTTGCTGGACAATTCTAATAAATTCTAATAGTCACCTATCAGTTTCGTTTTAGGAAAACTTTCTAAAAGTAAACACCAAAAGCTTTCTTATATCAGCAGGGCTGTTAAATTGAAAATCCAAGACGGGGCTCCACTCATAGATTTTGTTTGTCAGCGGGAACTCTGGGAACACACACCCAGTGTAACTCTGACAAACTTTGTCTCAGGGCAAGGTGAATGAAGAAAGTTTCTCTGCTGGGCTGGCAGGAAGCTCTTCTTCCTTGTCTTCTAAAATATCACTCACACCCAAACCGAATTCCAGTTCAGCGTGTATTGCAAAAGCGGTGTCATCCTGTGTGCCAGGCAGGGAGCCAGCAACACTGGGTTGTGACTCAAGGGAGTCAGGGTGCTCCAAATCCTCCATGAGTTCCTTCGGAGGAACTCACATTTTCTGTCAGCATTTCAGTTTTATACCCAAAAAGGGAGTGAATCAGAGAATGATTGGTTTCTGCACCTCAGTCCAGCAAATGATTACTTACTTGATTTGGACCTCAGCATTATCAACTCCCAACTCCTCTTTTTTCTCTACCCACACCCCGAAAAAGCTTGATGGGAGCATACAAACTTCTTGTTGGTAGTCAGGAAAAATCCACATCTGATTTATCAGTCTGGGCCCAATCGGAGAAGAGAAATCGGAACATATGCAGTAATTTGAACTGAGGAAGTTTAATATAAATAATTTTAACTCTAATACATTGGCATAAGAAATAGAGAAATCTAAAGAATATAGAGGTGAGAGTGCTCACTCGTTGTAGTACAGTTGGAACACTATAGAGAAGATTAGTATGGCCCCTATGCAAGGATGGCATGTAAATTCATGAAGTGTTCCTTTTTTGTTGTTTTTTAAAGGAATATAGGGTTGAAATAGAATATCCAAAGAAGGGTTCTACCACTACCACCACCACTAGAGCTAAGATCCAGCCGTTGCCGGAGAGGTCCCAGCTGTAGCTTGCTGGATGGCAGAGAAGTCCCTGTGGTGCCATGCTGGAAATCTGTCCTCTAGGGTCCCAGGGGAGACTCTTCGTTCACAAAGAAGTATCTCATAGGAGTTATTCTGCGACAGTACTGTCCAGGGAAATGTTGGAGGAAGCTGCTGTACGCAGGGGGCTGCTGGCCACAGGGCACTGCAGAAGCTGGGGCTGGCCCTGCAAGCAAGGGAAACAAAACCCTTTTCCTCAGGCAATTTCTCTCTAGTGCCCTCTATTGGCAAATCTTACTATTGTGCCACCTGGCAAAAGAAAAGTATTTAAAGGACCGATTTCATTTTCACGCAGCAGGCAAAAAAGGATTAAGTTTAGACCTGAGAATGAACAGATTAAAACTGACATACTGATACTGACCCAGTGTTGACATTGTGCTCCTAAGTCCCCTAAAGCCTCCATGAGCGTATGCCTTGAGCCTTACCTCTACATGCAAAATCTTAAGTTCTTACCCCACAATCTTTACTGCCCCATACCCCCAACCTAGCCACAGCTCAGCTACTTCTCCATTTTCTCTTATGTTCTACAGTAATGAGTCCACTCCTGGTATTGATTTTTATATCAGTTATGACTCTTAGGTATAAATTACAGAGCCAAACTTGAACTAGATAAGCAGGTAAATGAATTTTAAGGATTCAGAGATATTGCATGGAACCCACATTTGTCAAATTTGGGGGGGGGCAGTGGGGTTGCAAGTAATATAAATACAATAAATAGATTTTTCCAGCTCACATCATTCCAGTGGGAAAGCTAAGATAATGCACGTCTGAAACCAGAGGTTCAAAATATATCAGGATTTTGTTTCTTTCTTTCTCTTGGCTTTGTTTCTCCTGGGTTGACTGTTAGTCTCAGGCACACTCTTCTCCCCTGGTGGTCCCCAAATGCTAAATTACTTGAGATCAAGACATTCAATATGAAAAACAACAACAGCACCAGCAGTAAGAACTGCCTTCTCTTCTTCCTAGGAGTTTCTTCAAAACCCCTCTAATTAAGTGATACTAACCCAGATTGCTGATTCTAATAATTATGAGAATGTACAACCACTGCATCTGGGGGAAAAAAGGAGCAAACAAAGCTGTGTGCCTTAAACTTCAACGGAAGTCTTGAGAGAGACCAATGGGCAGAAAAAATAGCCAAAGGGAGGAGAGTTGTTCAGTTTCTATATTTAAATAATTTATTTTTGAAACCTTAAGGGTTTGCCAGTGAAATAATACTTCTTTCCTAAATTTCACTAACAATTATAAGTTCCAAAGTGGCACAGGAATATATACACACCATGGTATTTGGTTTACCCACATACCAATTTTGTTTGTTTGTTTATTTTGGTAAAAAACTATAACATAAAAATTACCATTTAAACTATTTTAAGAGTATACTGCAGTGGTGTTAACTATGATCCTTGTTATGCAACATGTCTCTTGCCTTTGCCGTCCTGCAGAACCGAAACTCTGTCTATGGAAAAACGAACTCCCCTTTTCCCCCTCCCACTGACCCCTGGCAACCACCCTTCTATTTTCTGTTTCTAAGAGTTTGACTACTTTATTTTTTTTTAGATTGAAAATTATTGTTTTTCTCTGTAAGGTAATTTTAAAACCAGAATGCCTCACGGGCACCCTTGAAATACTGGCAAAAGACAGTATGGTTTTACATGTAAGACTTTAATTTCTTGCATACATTATTACAAATGCATCAAAAGGACAAAGTGAAATACACTTAGAGGGTATCAAAATACAGTAGAAATAAGAACTAAACATTTTCTTCATTTTATCTGTTTACCAGAGTTAACTAAGTTTATTTGGCTACCTAGGTTAACTATGTAGCAAATTACTACACTATATAACCTGGCACGAATTAAACACAACTATTATATATAAAGTACGGTTGTCCTTTGGAATTAGCAGCATACCTCTAATATTACTGAATGAAAGTGAATTAATGCTTTCTCTTTAGGAATTGTACCATTAGACCAAATCTTTAGAACTCTGTCTGACGAAAGAAGTTTGGTAGTTTGGTTCACTTGACAGGTGTATCTCTAAAGAGATGCATCTCTGGCTTGAAGACCTTATGTGTTAAGAGCATCTTGTCTATGCTTCTCTAAATACAATTTATTCACTAACTTATTAAGTATTTATTGAGTGCCTATAGATGCCTATAGTACTATGCTAAGTTGTGGGAAAACAATAACTGGCAAATTCAGACATAGTGCTGCTCTTATTATAATTTTGCTCCCCATATGGACTATGCTGGTAAGAAAAGAATATGCAGAGGATATAAAATAACATAAGTAGTCTGATCCATTTGTCAGCCACTCATTTTCCTATTCACCTAACATGTTATTATGAACTGAATGTGTGTGTCCCTCCAAAGTTCATGTGTTGAAACCCTAATTTCCAGTATGATGGTATCTGGAGATAGGGCCTGTGTTACCTGTGTAACCAACCCCTTCTCCAGCCTGTTGCGATGAGGGGTGTCTGGAGAAGCACAGGGTGACATACAAATGCCACAAGAGCAAGGTAATCTGTAATTCTGAGGTTAGAGAACAGCTGCCTGGAGTAGAGCCAGGCTCCACATTATACCTTAGTTGAGTGCTGGGATTTGGGGGGTTTTATAACCACAGTATGATCTAGTCTGTCTTAACCAATCTCTCCTTGTGGTTCACCTTCACTGCGCCTCTTATATGGTTGCTTTGTGGGCAATGATTAGCTTTAATCGAGACCCAAGTGTGGCTTCTCTGAAACCTGCAGGATTAAAATACCAGATGATTTTACAGTAATAAGGTAAAAATAAGTATTTCTTAGCTTCAAGGATCTCAGATATATGTGTCCCTCAATATTGCCTTATTTATTTCAATATAGTCTAGATGGCAACACTAAGTCTTCCCAACTCATCCTGGTTCCCTTTCAGGATGTCATTCATTTGTGTTCTTGCCTGTACCTCTTCTGAAAAATATAAAAAGCTTTCCTATGTTTGAGCGTATTTTGAACTGGGGTACAAATGACAGTTACAGCCGCCTAAAAGCCGCCAATATTTAGGAGAGTAAGAGTACATCTACATTTTACCTTTTAAATTTCAGTGAAGCCCCTTGGAAGCAGAGCCAGTAAGGCCACGGTGATCAGCACTACTTTGGCCTAAATCAGGGTTACTAAAGCTCAGCACTGTTGACTTTGGGGTATGGTAATTCTCTGTTGTGAGGGGCTCTCCTTTGCAGTGTAGAATGTTGAGCAGCATCCTTGCCCTCTGCCCACATCCCTGGCCAATAGCAACCTGTTATGACTACAAAAAATGTCTCTGTGCACCGCCAAATGTCCCCTGAGAGGACTACATGAAGGTGTATTTTTGTGATCAATATTGCTGAATGATGACAATTTTAAAAGCTTATTTGGTTTCTGTAAAAAATTATCAAGATCAGTTTTTAAGACTAAACACAATAGTCCTAGCTGGTGTGGCTCAGTGGATTGAGAACTGAAGGGTAGCTGGGTTTGATTCCCAGTCAGGGCACATGCCTGGGTTGCGGGCCAGGTCCCCAGTAGAGGGTGTGCAAGAGGCAAACCTCACATTGATGTTCCTCTCCCTCTGTTCCTCCCTCCCTTCCCCTCTCTGAAAATAGATAAAGAAAAAAAAAATAGACACAACAGATATTTTAATGAAAGCAATGGTCCTGCCATTCTTTATTTCTCACAATACGTATTTACAGAAGAAAAAAAGAACTGTACATTTTAAATTCTGATTATACAGATTTTTTTTGCAGTTGCATAAGAAAAGAATCAATCTCTTAATGACTTTTTAAAATAACTTCAATGCTTAAAGGTACAAATTATATAATAAACATTCAATAACTGGAGTAAGCTCACTTCAAAATGAAAGACACTTAACACCCAGTAAAAGTAATGAAGCGACATTGTTGGAACCACAGTATCTTAGGAGATCTGATCAGATATGAACTATCTTTACCATAGATTCACAATCCAACTTTCAACCTACATTATGCAAACCTGGATGAAAGAATACATGAAAGGAACATCTCTGTAGGTTTTTGTAGGGTTAGAAGAATTTAGCTTTTGAAGAATAACATGTATATCAGATTTCCTTTATAAGGCTTTGAAAAAGTTGCATCTTTAGGTGCTATTAACAAAGTGAAAATTTTCATTAGTAGTCAATAGCTTCAAATATTGGTTTTCACTTTTTAAAAGCAATGAATTTTAAGTTCCTTTTTATCAGAAGTTAAAGGCACAGTGAAACAACAAATATTTGCACTTGAGCATTTTAGAACTCAAAATAATTCCAAAGGCAAAAAAATTCAGGCGTCCAGCACCTAATTGTTCCTATAGGTGGCAAAATTATCAAACCAGGAATCCAGGCAGGATGCAGAATTGTTGCACTGAGGTCAACAGTGGTAGGTGACTTAAAGCTTTACTTAACATACGGTATTTAACATTTTAAAGTTTTTTCAAGTTTCACATATTTAAAGATGATTTCAGTATTGCTCTAAATTAATGAAAATTTATTTTCTGGATAGTTAGTACTAATGCTCAGAAATATATTTCTTTTACTTTTCAGGGACTAGATTTTCAGTCTAATGATTACCTCTGAAAAGTTCCTCTCCTTTTGCACTTGTCCAACAGGTTTTGCTTTATTGAATAATCCATCCAAATTGGAGGAAGAGAGGTTGTGAAACGAAAAAGCTGTTGTTACTTGTTCACAGTTATGAAGTCAGTATCTAAACGGGAGGAAATAAAGCCCTCTAAACTTCATCAGCTTTACATTTTTCTAATTACCTTGTAGTGGAAGGCAGAATGGTATGCAAGACTTTTAAGAAGTAATGGATAGTTTATTATAGATATTCTGGGCACCATGATTAAGTGTAAAAATCAAAAAAAGTTTATAAATAATTATAAGCTAACTGCAGCCAAATGACATTTTAACTAGTTTCCATAGCTTGCTTTCTAGATGGAAACATTATTCTATTTTCTGGGTTCATCATTAAAAAGTCAGATATGAAAAAATATAACTATCAAATAAGGACTGGTGGCAAGAACTGAACATAGTTACTTGAAGAACTAAGGCTAAATGGGGGATGGAGGGAGAGAGTATAGTAAGTTATACCACACCAACATGTTCTGAAAATGTTGATATAGCACAACTTTAAAAAAAAATAGGGGAGAATGGGGAGAGCAAATAGAAAATGTTTAATTGTTTTAATTAAATATTGGTGGTGACTGTTATTTTGAGACTGTTACATACATATGTAAGGTAGGTAAAGAAATGAATATCTGTGGGATATTCTACTTCTGCCATGGCCTTTGTCTTAAAAACCATGAATGTCAATATAGAAAAATGGAGATACAGATGAAATAAAAAGGATAGGTAAAGAACCCTGTAGCACTCAATTTGATTTGAAAGTATCAAAATAAACTCATGAAACATTTTATCTTTAAAAGACAAAGATATTTCCTAGCTTTCTCCATTACACTGGCAAATCTAGTTGCAATGAGCATAACAGCTCCAATTATAGTTTTGAAATACCATTTCTCACTGAAAATGACGAGACTTCCTAGCAAAATGGCCAATTCCAGGTCTGGGGTAGGAAACGTACAAGTTGAGCCTGGAATATTTTGTCATATGAGACAGCAAGGGAGCTATTCAAGATTGCTAGAGTAGTGTCAAAAGGACTCAGAAACAACTTGATGAGGAAACCAGTGGCCAAAGGTGGGACAATTTGAGCTTTCATAAGGTAATATTTAAAACGGATTAAAGTCTATGAAATATGTTTGAATCCATAAGTTAGTTCACAATACTTGAAAAAAGTGATCACTAGAAGATGATAGGAAACAAGTTTATTATCTTGAAAACTAGCAAATAAAGGGAAAAATTCAAATATTTGTTTTCCCTTTTCTATATGAACATTACCACTGGTTAACCAAGTCATCAATGTGGGGGAACATCTCTTTACAAAAATGTTCTAAGTAATAAATGAAAAAGAAATGACAGAATATTCTCCAACCCACAATAAATCAGTGGGTCTAAGCACTGAGCATCAATTTTTGCGGATGTCGCAAAAAGAGAATCAGACATCTATGTGCCCGCTGATGAAAGGACACATCATGACCTATAGTCTTGCCAAAGTCTCAAACCTCTGGATCCCTGTGTGAGTACCCAGAGGACAGAGGAACATGCTAAATTGTGCCACGAGTCTGCAATCAGTAATACTAATACAGACTGTGGGAAACTCTGTAAGTCACAATACGAGGTTCTTCAACAGGTGAATTCTAAGAAAAAGAAGGAAGAAGGAATACATAAGTTTAAAAAGGAGTATGAAGGATGTATCTAATAACAATTTTAAGTAGATAAGATAAAAAAAAATAGTGTGTAGAGCTACACACTCAGGTAACAGAATACTAAAGACATTCAAGGACGTGATTGCTACTGAAATCAGCGCAGGGGTTACCTTTGCAGGGTCGGTGAAGAGGGCTGGACCTGTGACAGGACACAGAGGGCAGCCGGGGAGGCTGGCGAAGTTCCGGAAGAGTGTTTCCCTATCGTAATGTAATGACCTATACATTTCCTGTTTGGTTTTCAGTGTTCATCTTTTATTTTATAATTTTCCTAAAGAGTTAAATAAAAAATAACATCAAAGCCCTTTGGGTTTTCCACTAAAAATTATGGAAGTGAATACTTCTACTGTAAATATCAGCTGATGATTCTTTAAGAAATTGCCTACATTATAGAAATGTTTCTAAATAATAAGCTACAAATATTTGAAAAATATAATATTAAATTCTTACATGTGCAGTTATAAAAAGTAAAAGAACTAAGCATATATTCCTAACATGAAGTTAATTTTGTTACATTATGTTATACAATTGGGTTAAATGGACTTCACTGACATCCAAAGTTTTCCTTTCCTGCCATACAACGTTATTCATGTTATTCTATTAGTGATTAGAACATGAGCATTGAAGCAGATTTCATATTTCCTCGGATGTCCACAATTCATTTCACTTTACATCTTTTTACATAGAACAAAGATTAGTTATCTTGCCCAACCATGATGTGTTTATTAATACACAGCATTACAGACAGTGTTATCCAATCGGCCAGTAAAGATCCTTCACCCACAAATCCCAGCCTTATGCTCTTTTTCATATATGAATGGCTTATGGAGACTATTTTTTGTTGTTAAGTATCTAAGAAACTTAGGAATGGGAAACAGATTTAAACCATCAAAATGAAAGCAGTTTTAAAATGCAAACAACAACAAATATGGACAAACATACAACTGTTGTACATTTTTTCCCATCAAACATTGACAATTTCCCTCCAACTGTTCAAGCAGCATCTTAACAAGTGGTATGATTGTACGGTTTGGTTCCTTTTCCTTTTAATAACATTATGTGGTGTTCGAGTGATTCACATATTCCAGAAGCGACCGGTCTAATACCCTTCGAATAAGAGCTTCCTCAATTATATTAAAATCCTACAATTAAGAAAAATAATTAGAAACATACAATCAGAGACCGTTTTTGCAAACTGAAAGAGGGGGGTCATTGTAATTCCTCATTTTGCAGGAAACTAAAGCCCTAAGTTTAGTGACCTGTCTGAACTTCCACAAAAAAAAATGTCAAAGAACCTAGGACTTTTGCTTTGTGGCCAATGCATTTTCTACTTCATTTTACTGCCTACGAATTAACTAGTTACTGTCATATAAAAATAGTCTTGATTTGGAATTTAAAGTTTTTTAAATCTGATCTAATGAGTGGTTGTTGGTCAACATTACAAATACTGATCACATAAACATGTACTATGCAGTAAAGTTAAGATATTTCCACATAATTCGCCAGTGATACTACTGGATATCTATATGGAAACTGTTGAAAACAAAACTCTTTGTCTTTGCCTTCCTTTGGTCAAAGTGGCATTCAAAACTTTAAGTCAGCACATTCTGTAAACAAAACAAAAACTATTAAGAGCCCTGTCCTTTGCAACGCATCCTCCTCTCCCTCAAAAAACTAAAAGCTAAAAGAAAGAGAGGAAGGAAGGGAGGGAGGGAGGGAGGGAGGAAGAAAGGAAGGAAAAAAGAAAGACAAATAAGTAAAATCTGTGTTTGAAGTCCATTCTGAAATAAAACCATGAAGACAAATAAAATCCAAAGGAGAGCCATAAAGAATAGAAGAGCCTAAGATCTGGGACTCGATACTGGTTGTGTCTTAGGCAATTTATTAACATTTGAATTTCAGATATTTCATACCTAAGTGAGGATAATAACACAGTACTCCCTTGACAAAAGGCATTGCAAGGAATAAAATGAGATAATACACATAAAGTGCCTGGCACAGTACTTGGTAGCTGAGGAAACAAAAAAAATTAAAACAAAGAACACTGTTTTAACCTCACTTCCATATCCAATAATATGGTTTTGAGTGGGTAGAAAGTATTCTCATCAAAGTGGCTCCCTCCTAACTAGCCCTGAATTTGACCTTTGAAAAATGATACAAATGGACTGAATACGCATAGCCAAAACAGGTAATGGAATCAACCTGGCTTTTATTTTTTTAATCATTTTTTATTGTTATTCTATTACAGTTGTCCCAATTTTCCCCCCTTTGCCCTCCTCCACCCACTCCATATCTCCCCTACTCCCAATCAACCCCCACACTGGTGTCCATGGCCGTGGGTCATTCATGCATGTTCTTGGACTAGTCCCTTCCCCTTCTTTCCACCATATTCGCCTCAGCCTGGCTTTCAGAATATCTTACGGAGCTAAAAGAAAGAGGAAGCTCTATGTACCGTGAAAAGTGAGAACACACAGAGCAGAACCAGACTCTGTTGAGGCCTTGAGTACTTTAGGGGCCAGAGGACATTATTTGAGATGGAGCAGAGGCTATGAAGCCTCTGTGACACAGCTTGTTCAATTCAAGTATTCTTTGTATCCCGTTTATCCTCTCTCCATCGCAAATTTGCCTAACATTCATGTCTACACTGTGTAAATAACTTTACATGCATTATCTTATTTAATCTCAAAAGCTTTGGGCAATAGGTGCTTTTACTCGCTTCACTTAACAAATCAACAAAGGGAGGCTCAAAGGTTAAACAGTCTGCCCAAGGTCATATAGTTGTGACAGAGCTGTTACTTAATCCAGGTCAGAGCCTATGTTGTTCCTCATATTGAATCTGGATAATTTTAGCATGCAGATCAGAAAGCAAGGCCAAAATTTTCAAATGACAGTCTTTAACGATTATTAAATTGTATCTTGAAATAGCATTAAAAACGTCAGGAGAAATTATATGCGATTAGAATTAGTTGTTAACATTTCATGTTTTTACATAAAAGTTAACAATAAAATATTCTATTTCAGAACATGGCTTTGGTGATTTCCCTCCATACTAGGCTAAAAGGGACTCAGAGGAGAATACATTACCCTCACATGGCAACACACAGACCAAAGTATAACAAATGCTATGTTAACTTTGTGCTTGTTATTCTAATTTCTGATCATGGAAAATACTGGCAAGTATTAGGACTCTTCATACAATACCTAACTTCTCTTGCATTTTACAGAAAGTCTTAATATAATGAGAGTGGCCATGAGTTGTTAGTTAATGATGGGTGGGTGATGGGTATGTGGGGGTTTATTATACTATTCTTTCTGTCTACTTTTTTGTGTTTAATAGTTTTCACAATAAATTTTTTTAAGTTTAAAAAAGTTCAATAAGTGAGTTTTGTGTTTTATAAAATTTAAATTAATAATAATGCCTGAACATCTTACTACACTGATAATACTGTTATAAGTCATTCAATGTACTATAAAAGCAACTGGATGCAGTGTAAACTCTGAGTCATTTCATTACTGATGTGATTTCATCTCAGCTATATAAGTTTTCAAGTTCATAAAAATTGTAACTACATAGGGAGTAGAGTAGAAACTAAAATAATCTGAAGGTGAATCTGGCTCCTTATACAGTGGATAATTATATAGATCACAAAGAAAATAATTTTGTCTAAGGCAGATAACTACTTTAATATTTATTAATAGCCACATTTATAAAACACTGTATTTTTATGATTTCTTAATGCTAATACTCATTTTGGCTACATACACATTTTTTCTTAATTTTCTTCACTTAGATTAAAAAGGTAAGTTTAACACAGCATAAAGACAATGTAAAAGGAAAAAAATATACTCACTATGAAATCGTGATAAAACAGCGTGTGACTGACTTGCAAATGTCTTATTAAACTGCCATTGAAGCTATTTGGATTCTCACTGGGCATTATACGGCAAAGTGGGCAGAACTGGAAATATAGAAGACCAAGAGTTCAAGAAAGAATTTAAAATAATCGTAATGTCAGCATTAAATACTGTCATTTGTGACAACATATATGGACCCTGAGACTATTACGCTAAGTAAAATAAGTCAGAATAAGCTAAGAACCATATGATTCCATTCATGTGGGACAAAAAACCCGAAACTCACAGACAGAGAAAACAGTACAGTGGTTACCAGATGGAGGGGGGACTGGGGGGTAGTAAAGAATAAAGGGGGCCAAATATATGGTGACAGAAGACGATCTGACTTCCGGTGGTGGGCACACATGCAATAGACAGATCACGCATCACGGAAATCTATACTTGAAGTCTATATAATCTTATCAACCAATGTCACATCAATAAATTTAATGAAAAAATTAACCATTCAATAAAGTGAATTTCAAATTGATGAATCTATTGGCCATACCTCAGTATTACATTTTAAAATCTTGTAAACATTAAAGCAAAATTAAACAAGTAAAATTGCATTTATTCTTATGTGTATATAATTGATAGCTATTATTTTCATATTTATCAACTGATTAAACAATTACAGTTAGTAGATGCACTGTAATGTACTTATTGCATTAATAATTATAGTTATTACATTAGTTGCCTACCTCTTGAAATAAGGTTTTTTATATGTGGATATTTTATTATTACAAATGACATCATCTATAGTGTTTATCTTTGGGGGGAGGGATTACTTTCTTAGGATAAATGACCAGAAATGGAGATTTGTAGTCAAAGATTATGAACATTTATGGTTCATAATACCTATTGCTTTAAAGTTTTTAATTGCCAATGGCAATATAGATTATAACACATCAGCATCAGTTATTAGTATTTATATGTACATTCCCAATTTAATAGCCCTTAATAGCTCTTCAACAGAACCTTTCATTTTGAAATATTTATAAACTCCTAAGAAATTGTGTTTTCCCAAATGGTAACATCTTACCTAACTATAGGACCTTATCAAAATCAAGAAATTGGCAATGAACTAGACTACAGACCTTCCTCAGTTTTCACCAGTTTTGCATGAATTCATTTTTGGGTGTGTGTGTGTAGTTCTATGAAATTTTATCACAGAGAGACTCATAGAACGTTCACACAATCAAGATACAGAAGTGTTCTGTCGCTACCACCCCCTGTTACCCCTTTACCTCTTCTCTCCATAACCCTGTTGTCCACTGATACTTTCTGGCTCCACAATTTCATCATTTTGGGAATGTTATAGAAATCAAATTTTACAGTATTTAATCTTGTGAGATTGGCTTTTTTTTCAATGAGCATAATGACCTTGAGATTCATCCAAGTTGCTGCACACATCAACAGTTCCTTTTTTATTGTTAGTAGTAAGTAGTCCATGGTATGGATGTACCACAGTTTATCCATTTGCTTTCTGAAGGACATTTGTTGTTTCCAGTTTTGGGCTGTTACAAATAGAGCTGCAATGAATATCTGTACACAGATATTTGCATAAACATATTTTTATTTCTCTAGGATAAATTTCCAGTGGTCTGACTGTTGGTCATATGGTGAGTGTTATAGTTAACTTGGTAAAAAACTGCCGAACTATTTTCTAGAGTAGCTATATCATTTTACATTCCATGAGCAATGTGTGAATTATCTAGTTTTTCCTCATTTTCACCAGCATTTGGTACGGTCAATATTATTTTATTTTAGTCATTTTGATAGATGTATAGTGGTATTTCATCATGGTTTTAATTTGTGTTTCCCTAATGGCTACTGCAAATGACTCTTTTAACATGTTACTTTATTACATTTTAACCTAGGCTTTTTTTAAAAAAAGATTTTACTTATTTATTTTTAGAGAAGGGAAGGGAGGGAGAAAGAGAGGGATAGAAATGTCAATGTGTGGTTGCCTCCTGCGCACCCCCTACTAGGGACCTGGCCCACAACCCAGGCATGTGCCTTAGACTCCTTTGGTTCACAGGCTGGCACTCAATCCGCTAAACCACACCAGCCTACGCTAGGCTGGGGTTTGTTTTTTTTTTAATTCCATTTCTTTTCCTCCTTCGAGTCTCAATTCCACCAGTATAATTTTTCAAAAAATTAAACATGACAATATAATTACTGTATGACAAAAAGGAGCTGTTGGCCTTTATGGCTACATATGAGAAAAGTCAAAGTTCCCCGATGTTCTTAAGCTACCACTCCAGCTTTGAGCAACTCATGAAGAGATTAGTTGCTTATGGTTTGATCTCTGAATTTTCTAATTATTTCCAGAAGGTAGAATCACTTGTCCAAGTTTCTAACTGCCATGAAACTTCTTATACCAGGTAAGTCAATGATGCCACTGATTTTATCTGCAGTCAAAATCAGCAATCTAGTCATTCAAAGCGATAATACACGCCAACCCATAATCAGCTTCAGACTCAGCCCTCCTTGCCCAGGGCTTCTACAAGTGTGTTTTAACCACATGTCCCTACTGGGGACCCCTAACCACATGAACTTCAGCCATTGTACAGTAACCGCCTCCAGCCTTTTCATAACCTCAGCATACATCTTACTCCTAGTGGCTCTAGGTCCTTCACAGTGACAAGAGCCTCAAGCTTTCACTCAACAATAAACATTCACATAGGAAACCTAGAGGTCTTCTGTTCCAGGAACCATCTCTAGATGGCCCCAGTGTATTACAGAACCACAGATCTTCTGCACAATCTGCTCCTGCCTCAAGGCCATAACAACACCCACGTCTTGTGGTAGTGTTACCACTTGACCTTTCCTACTCCTAGCTAGGGTTCCCCACCTGTGAGAGTATAAGGCTTCCTCTGAGAAATCTGCTATATATTTTATACATAGTTGCAAAGGTGGTAGTAACCCACCATTATCTGCTCAGCTGTCTTTTTTCATCATGTGACAAGAGTGCTTGGTTTACATGCCAGACTCATTTATTACTACCGTGTGAAAAAGGCATCATTATTATTATCATTCCCATTTTGCAAATTATGAAACTGAGGCAGAGACGTTAATGGGACTTGCTGGAATTTGCACCAAAGTTTTTCTCCTCCAAAGCCTAGGTTTCTAACTACTAAATTCCATGGGCAATCTGATCCCACCATTCCTGGTGTATTTATATCCTTAGGTTGGCTCTCTTTAACGACCTCATTATGGAATACCTAGCTTCCGTGGACCTCTTTTCGTGGCCATATTTAGGAGCACGCGGACTGGACTTCTGCTGGAGCTGCCACACAGGACAAACGGACGTACCAGTATGTGGCCGGCCCCAGACTGCTGCTATGAAGAAGCCCATGGTCCGGCATGCCAGTCGTTCCTCCAGCCAGCGCTCTGGGCACAACTAGTCAGGGCTCAAGCCATGTCAAGAACACCTCTTTTTTTTTTTTTTAAATTCTCATCCTCACAAGAGGACATGTTTTTTCATTGCTTTTAGAGAGAGAGGAGGGGAAAAAGAGAGAAACAACGGATGAGAAAAGCATCCATTGGTTGCCTCCAGGTCCCGCCCAGACTGGGGATATTCTGCGCATGGCCTGTGCCCTGCCCAGGAATCAAACCACCGACCCTTTGTGGTTGTGGGAGACCACTCCAACCAGCTGAGCAACACCAGCCACGGCAATAACACGTTCTTAAAAAGGTTGCTAGGAGACAACACACATGGTAGCCATTATTATGCTATCCTAATGTTTTCTTCTATCTTCCTCTGGCTCTCCAAGGACTATTCTAAAACTCCTTAGCCCAGCTCCTCCCACAGAGCAACCTGAGCAGGAAAAGCCCAAGAATATCTTCCCTGCGCCCCCTACACATATCAAGCTCCTAATTAGCCATTCCAAGAACTAAATGCTTAGGCCGTTAGGATCAATAAAATACCTTTCACTGTGTTATATAGCTTCCTCAGGAACTTGCTAGTTCAAAGGGGTTCACCATGTAGGCCCTGGAGCCAGATGGTGTTTAAATTGTGGCTCTCCTACTTACCAGCTGTGTGACCTTAAAAGATTCACTTAACCTCTCTGGGCCTTAGTTTCGCATTTGTAAAATGGGGATAATAATCACACCTATCTCACAGGATTGTTGTCAGGACTGTCTGTATCTATCTCTGTATCTATTTATCATTTATCTATCTAATATATTCATGTTTCAATCTCATTTACTTCCTAAAAGGATTTTATGGGGAAAAAAACACCTACAGCCCAAATTTTTAAAAAACCCAAAAACTCATATATAAAAAATGACATACAAACACATATTTATGTGCATGTACACAGATGTATATACGTATATGTACATATATGTGCACATATACATATAAACATATTAAAAATGGAAAACTAAACTAAAATTCAAAATAATCTTCAAGATATAATTTTGTATCTATTAAGTATGGGTAATTTTAAAATAAATGTACACAATTTTGGACAGGTTAAGGTAAAAGTGGTTTACTCATAAACTGCTGATGTAAATATAAATTGACTCATACTTTTTGGAGTGTATTTTATATCTCAAGAGTTATTAAGAAATTTGTACTCTTAGTCCCAGAAATATGAATCTAAGAAGTTTCCTCCTAGGAAAATACATCCAATAGAAGGAGAACTTTAAATGTATAAAAGTATGAATTCAAATCGTAAAAACTGCAATAATTCAGGTGTTCAGAAGTAGTAAAAATAGCTAAGTAAACGATGATGTACTCATCACCCTGCTTCATCTCACAACTATACAGAAATAAAAATGATAAAAGCTACACTGCAAAGTAGAACTAAAATGCCAGGTTGAAAAGAAAAAAGGCAGCATTCATTATGAATCTAGAAAATGAAGAGCAATATGTATACTTAATGTGCAAGCCTATGAAATAGAATAATAAATTGATTAATGATATGGATGACTTACTACTTTTCTTATTTGTTTTTATTTTATATGACTTTCTACTTTTCATTTCTAGTATATTTTCATGACAACTCTATTTGCATTATTAAAAAATGTTTTTAACCTAAGATGGGACCGCAGTTACTATTCTAAAGTTAAATCTTAACTGTGCATTTTGGATCTTCTTAGTTGATCATATCCATGATTATCTGAAAGATACAACATTGTCTAATTTCATAAATGAATGAGTGATTGCACATTAGTAATTCTTAACAGTTTCAATTCAACACTTTCACATACTGTTAATGTCATAGAATTACCATAACCTTGACATAAATTATCCTTTATAAGTATAAATAGAAGCCTATCAAATGAATTTTCTAATGTGTGTTGAATTTAGACATTCCAGAAATATATAACATCCTTACCACAGGTCTCCTTTCTGATCTGTGATGAGTAATACAATGGTCCAGCAAGCTGTGTTCATCCAATTCCTTCTGACAAAATGGACATACACACCTGGAAATTGCATGGAACACAATTACTAAAATTGTTGCCAATTAGATAGTAGTCACTTAACTAGAAGTAAAAAAGAGAATGAAGGTAGATCTAGTTTCCAGTCTTCATTCTTTCTGATTTATTTTTTCCTACGCTGATAATGGTTTTGGTGCCTATATTTTTTCTCATGAGAGATGTAAATGCGGATCCTTATGGGGACAAGGTAGAAAAACAGTTATAGTGCTCCTGAAGCACTCATTCACTGAGAAACTGAGGATCAGTCCACCCACCTGTCCATGGGTTTTCTTTTCTGACACTTTTACATCCTCCCTTTCCTAATTTTGATTTGGGTGTTATTTGTCCTCCAACTCTTCTAGCATATATAATGTGTCATAAAAGTAGGTTTGCAGTTGTTTGTAAGGAAAATAACAAAATAATTAATAAATAATAATACAAGAATAAATTCTGTGTTTTGCATACTCACAAGCTGTAAACCTACCCTGTATAACTACAAGTGTCAACTCACACAATTAGTATCTAGCAAAGAATGAAAAATGACCCACTGCTACCCTAGTAAGTCCTCACACCTAGGAGTGTGTGTACCTTATACTTGTGCTGTCCAGTACAGTAGGCATTAGCCATATGTGTCTATTGGGCATTTGAAATATTGCTAGTCCAAACTGAGATAGGCGGAAGCATAAAATACACACTAAATTTCAAAGGCTTAATATTAAAAAAAGTGAAATACCTCAATTTTTATATTGATTATATGTTGAAATGATAATATTCTGGCTATATTGGGTTAAATAAATGTATCGAAAATTGATTTTGTCTCTTTTTAGTCTTTTGGTGTGGCTAGTAGAAAAATTTTAATTACATTATGTATACTGCATTCTATTTCCATTGCACAGTGCTGCCTTAAATTCTTAGGGACAACATGGAAGCTTGGAATTTTTTGCTCGCTTTCCATTATAGAAATAAATTCCTACTCCCCAAGAGTTGTACTCTAGACAAGCTCTCTGCATAAAAATTTTTAAAATTTGAATCATGTAGTTAAGTTCTATAAAGCAAAGATTTTTTACTTTAAATGAAAATATTAATCTATCTTGTTAGACTGATTAACCACCAACCCTTCTCATTTTCTGTTATTTTGATTCCTTATTATTTAATTCTAATTTGAAAAGAAATTGGGCTTTAAATTAGCTTTCATATATTTTTAATTTTTCATAATGTCTATCAACCTTGCAATCAAATACACATACTTTCTCCACCCATTTGTTATCCTTCCTTCCTGTTGTTCCTTGTGAAGTAGCTCACAGAACCCATACTCTGCTTAGAGTTAAAATATTCATTTAAAATTTATAATGTCATGGTATAAAACTAATCTTATAAAACAGGAATATCTGCAAAGCAATCTCTAGTTAAACAAAAGGAATGGAGCAATGACTTAGACTTCCAGGTTAAAAAGTATAAACTTTATTTTGAATGTTATTTTTCTTAAAATAAGCAGAACTAATATTTTCCTTCAGGAGAGAGAAAGAAATCACACTCCTACTGAACACCACTATTGGATAACTGAGTTTATAAGCAGATTTATTGGTTTCAAAGCCATCAGCCTATGTGGGAGAACACAAATCATTTCTTTAGTAGAGAGGAATTTCAAACTTTGTAATTATTCTGGCTATCAGGGAAATAATGACCCAGATTTCTTTTTTTTTTTTAAGGAAAAAAAATTAATAATCAATATCCTCCATTATACCTGCTAGCCATCCCTCTCCCAGCCCCCAAAAGTACTGAATTCAGGACACCTGCTTGAGGCCTGTATTTCCTACTTAGAACATATACAGAGACGTCCCTTCCTCCTTTCTAAGGAGAGACTAGCAAAATGAGAGGGAATGAGCTGGGGAACTGAGCAGCAGTGATGGAAAAGCAAACACAAAAAACCCTCTTAATCATGATCCATTTCAGGACTCTCTTAGTCAGAAAACAGAGCCCAGCAGAAATGAACAGTTCTGCGTTCTGTTTTTGAATCTTCCTTAACACAAACTTTGCTAAGGAAGTTACTTTAACTTCTCCAGTGTTTGGTTAGCTCCCTCCATGCAAAGTTTTTAAAGGAGAGCAAAATTCTTTCATAATTATTACTATTAACTAACCATTACCAATAATAGGTATTATGGTTAAGTGCTTACACATAACTACATGCATATTTTCATAATAAAAATGTTAAATTTTCCAGCCCATTAAATTCTCTTTTTTGCTGTTCTGTAACATAACATTTAAAAAAATTTTTTTCAATTACAGTTTATAGTCAATATTATTTTGCCTTCGTTTCAGCATTAAATTCTTTATAGGCACATCAAATTTAGCACTCAAATGTACTCTATTGAAACAAACCTTGTTACTGTGTCCCCAAGTTCTTGTAGTGGTCCATATTTATCTATGTACTTCTGACAAGTTCTTATGTGTGCCCTCATTTCGCTGAGGCAAACCTATATAAAAGCAAATTCAAAATAAACTCACTGGTGAAAAGGGGCTCAATGAAGTCTTATGTGACTCAGCTTTATTACTTTCATTATTTCAAAAAAGGTCATATTGTGGGGTCAGCTGATTTTAAAAGGGTGCATTCATAACAACAGTACAATGAAGTTAAGGCATTATCAAGAATAACACTAATTTCAATTTTCTCTAATACTTTAAAGACCCAAATGTTGAGATCTTAAATTTGGTTCTTCTAGAAAGCATTATGTTCTTTAAAGTGGAAAGGCACTTTTAACTCAAATTTACGTTTTGGGGAATGACATCGCCTAAAATGATGATGGAAAGAAAGAAGCGGGAGAGAAAAAGGGAAGAGGAAAAAGAGAAAAAGAAGGAGGAAAGGGGGAAAAAAGAGACAGAAAGAACGGAAAACAAAGAAAGATAAGAAATTGAATAAATGGATGGATTTTATAAATGTCCACAGTAAATAAAAAGAAACTCTGTGCCTCCGGGAAAGATATAAATACCATGGCTTTATAATATATCTAGTAGCATCACATGAATTCACAATACACAGTGTACTTAATGGCCCCATTAAGAACACACATGAAAGACAGCTCTTGCAGTCCATTTTTATCAAGGCCGAATAAAGAGCCTTTGTTCCTCCAGATATACATTCAGAGATCCTAACCATGAGGGATCTGTTGCTAAATAACACATATTCTACTCTATGTTTCATTAGAAACTTTGATAAGATCTTGTGCTAAAGGAAGCTTTTACAGCTGTGGTGAGGTGGCCAACACATACTGCTTCGTTCTGCCCAAGCTCCGGAAGTTAAACCTCAAACTTGAAATCTACCACGTCAGGGAAACAGTTATAATTGCTTAACAAAAGACCAAAAATAAAAGCAAACCCTTGCTTTACATACGTCTCTCTAAAAGCTGTACAAACTAGGACTGATCTAGGTAACTGTCTTGAAACAATGTTTTGCAATCTTTAACACCCAACTTGGTCCATCAATACTCTCATCTCTTCACTACTTGTGTTAAGTTTCTTTCCTCCTCTTTGTATTCCTTTGTCAACAAAGCAAAGCATTCCTCACATAAATTAGCAATTTGGGGACTATATACTGACAAAGGAATTGGTAAATTCATACAGTGGCTACTTGAGAAACAAAATATTTAAGACATTGTAAGAGATAACAGAAGAAACATAAGCCACTGTGTTTGCTGTAATGGTGCTTCTAATCGAATGGAAAAGAAAAAAAATATGGAGACAAGAGGAGAGGAAGCTGTTTGGTACTGGGGACTGGAATATGAAAGTCAGGCCTCATGGAATGGTGCTCTGTCCTGGGCCCTCCGGGGTAAGTAGAGTCTAAAATGGCTCTAAAGGAACAGCAGTATTCCTGGCAAGACGAGTAACATAAAACAGAAGGGATGGATACAAGAAATGCCTCAAAGGAAAATGTAAAATACTTGGGAATAAGAAATGGCGGGGGCGGCATGTCGAAAATAGGAAGGGGATTTCCACCCGGGATAATTGAGAGAATGGTCTTATTTCGGACAGACACCGAAGGTGGGATAAAGAACCAGATGATGACTTAATATCCCAAGTTTGATTTTGTGCACGTTAAATTTCATATAGTGACAAAAATAACAAAGTAAAAATAATCAATAATCTATTATGATGAACATAAAAATCTGTTGATTTTGAGCATTTCCTATGTTTCAGATCATGCTAAAAGCCGTTTTATCATTTACCTTTAAGACCATCCTGTGACACAAACACTACCTTTTTCCTTATTTTCCAGAGGTAAACAAGGACTTAGATGAATAATCTGCCCCAAATCACAAAGAATAGGTAAGAGAATTGGGGTTTTATCCTAGGATGTCTGACTCCAAAGACCATACATAACTTCTGGAGTGAGGCAGCCATGAACAGATTACCGAGTCTTACGTAAACATACACAAACAAACAAAAATGCATTAGGCACTTACTATGTGCCAGTCACTTTTCAAAGTGCTGAGCACACAGTTGCCAATAAAACAGACATAGTCCTTACTTTCATGGTACTTAAATCTGGTGGGGATAACTGACATTAAATTAAAAGATCATAAAAGCATAATTACAAGCGGTGATAAGTGCTATAAAGGGAATACAGAGTGCTAAGAGAAAGTATAACAGGCTATAATTTAGGTTAACAATCAAGAAAGATTCTCTAAAGAAATGTAGATCTTCAGTTACGTAATCTTTCTTTTGAGCTCTAGACTGATATATCTAAATATCCCCTGCTAAGCAGTTCATATCTTTTAACATATCTAAAATTTAACTGTGGATTCTTCTCCAAACCTATCCCCATTTTAACTCCTTCACATGCTCAGAAACCTTGCAGGCATTTTTGGCACTTCACTCTCACTCACCCCCACGTGCAGCCAATTGCCAAGTTCCTTTGATTCTCTCTCCTAAATACACCTTGAAAAAAATCTAACACTATCACCCTAATCTGGCTTCCTTACCCGATCCATCCCGATAGCCACCTAGCTGGTTTCACCAATCCTGCTTTTGCCCCCCGCAACCACTGTCCACACACATGCTAGAGCAATATCCTAAAAATATAAATCCAGTCAAAAGGGTTTATATGACACTTTTTCTATGACTCACCATTGCATTTGAGATAAAATCTAGGTAGAATCTTTCGTGTGGCCTCCAAAACCTCACATGATCTAACCACGTCTCAAAGGATGAAGTTGCAACAAGGAAGAAGTGATCAAGAGCGATAAATACTGCAAAGCCCAGAATAACATAGGTGCAATTATGCCACTGGATTTGATAATAAAGTTATTCATTGATAGGCTGCAATGAAGTAGCAGGAATGGAGGCCACATTAATAGGGGGTCATAAAAATCATGGGAAGAGAGAAAATGGAGGCAGTCAATGAAAACATTTATTTGAAGAATTAGGTGACGGTAGAAGTCAGGTGACCACTTTCCTGCAGCGTACACGTATGAAACTGGAGAAAAGCTGAGACAATAAACCTGAGGAAGTCGGGGTATAATGAGGTCAAAGGCATAGGGGCAATGATTAGCTGCATACCAATTTTCTCAGCGGTCTAAGCTGGTAACCCAAGAGCACAGACAAGGTCCCTTACCAGGGTGTCACACTCGGTGCAGTTCTGATATTCTGATTTCATTCTTTTGGCTACGTCGGTTGCTGGAACTCCTTCTGAAGGAAGATATGCCCGGCAGTAAGGACAGGTCCACTTATTGTTCTTCAGGCTGGTAGCAATACAGGAACGGCAGAATCTATCCAAAACAAACCAAGGACACACAACTTTCCTTACTACGAAGCCACCACTACGTGTTCCTTTGTGTAAATTGTATTTTAATGACACCTTGTCCACTGTGAGCTGTAATGCCATTTGCGCCCGGCACTGGTCAGAGTCTCTTTGCTTCCCCCATTAAGACTCCTCTGGGATTGTATGTTCTCACCACAGCACCTCACTCATTTAAACGAAAGAACACAAAGTAGTGAAACAGTATTCCTATAATTGGAGTTAAAATGATAACCCAAAGGATACCCACTGTATTCTCTCTTTCCTCTAATCCTACTTTACCTGAAATCTTTTTGGAAGATAAATTGTTTTATTTAAAGACGATCGTAACAAAATCTTAACATAATCAACAGAATTCACAGGCTATCTTGACCCATTTATGGGAGCTGTTGAAGGCTAAGGGCACACAGAAGTAACAATGAGCATTTAGGCAGGTTACACATATTAACATGATCTGATGATGGCTCTTAAAGCGCTCAGCATGTAACACCTATGTGGGAGTACTAATACTGGGGGGAAGTTATAAAGCTTTTAAAAATTTAAGTATACTATACATACTTAAAAGTTCATACACAGCAAGTACACAGTTCAACAAAATTTCACACACGGCATATTCAATTATACCAGCCATTACTGATTCTTAAAAGTACTCTTTTCTGTATTTGTTATTTTTAAAAAATTCTTATTAGCACGCAAAGGATGCTGATGTTTGCATAACGCTTGAGGCATTTGCTTGATGTTTATGCTGCCCACATCCATTTCCCCTTTTTTTCTTGAAATAGCATCCTGATTTTGTTGTGCAGGAGTTATACCTCTTAGATACAGTCTAGTGGAATCTCGGTCAAGGTGCACACCGGCCCTGGCCAGGTAGCTCAGTTGGTTTGAGGACTGTCCCCATATGCTGAGAGGTTGCAGGTTTGCTCCCTGGTCGGGACACATACAAGAATCAACCAATGAATGCATAAATACGTGGAACAAATCAATGTTTCTCTCTCTCTATTAAGTCAATAAGTGAAATTTTTAACAAATAGGTGCCCACCACCCTCTGCTGAAGGCGAGGGCACCTGAAGTAGGCCTGCCTAAGTGAACTCTCTCTCTGGAAGATGAATACTAAATGGAGTGCCACGAAGACCGACTCAGGAACAACTTGATGGGACTGCCCTCCCCTTTACTTAGAACCTCAGATCTGCCTAGGTTTCTACCCTTTTCTTCCTAGGTGCTTTTGTTATTATTGTTGTTTGGTAACTCTTTATTCTGATATAATTTCAAACTTGATATGCTGTTGTTGTTTTTTTATACAATTTTTTGAAACACTTTTAATTCAAGGGCTCTCTCCCTCTCAGGAATACGCCCACACCTTTCCCTTCCATCTCCATTTCTCCCCAGAAGAGTTACCTTTGCCTTTCTCTCTCCCGAGCTCCAGGGCCCTTCTTTTGCTTCTGTAACTGACTTCCTGGGCCTACACAGCCCAGCTGGCTCACTTCTACTATCTCTGACGTTCTAAATAAACTTTCTCTTATACTTTGGGGGAAAAAAACTAAGATAACATAAAATACCGTAATTCATTTAACCTTAACAAACCCCTAAGAAAGATTTTTTTTCCATTTATAGATGAGGAAAGTGAGATACATAGAGATTAAGTTACTTCTGCAAGACCACATGTACAGAAAGTACCTGAAGCGAGGGTTTTCTGACCCCAAATTCAGGAACCTTTCTTTCTGCCACCACAGCTGACCCAGTAAGAAAGAGCAATGACTTCGCTGGAGTCAAGAGACCTAAGTAACCTGCTCTATTTTACTTTTCTCTGCCTCATGATTAATTTTAGGTTCTAAAGCACAATCTGCCCTTGCATTTCTTTGAGTCCCTAAGAACTGGTTCTCAAAATGTAGGCTTTGAAGGGTATTTATTACAAATAGTCCAAATCCTCAACTCATAATTAACATTTCTAATACAACACCTATAGTTCTGACATGAATTATTTGTTTCATAATACAGGGACAAGCAGATAACACTTTGTTTTTTTTCCAACCAAAATATTCCCCCTTTTCTCACAATTCATTTCAGTTTTATGCCCTTACAAGCAGAAAATTAACATCTATGCCAAGTCCTGTGATACACATTATCCCACCTAGCCATCACAGGAACCCTAAAATGTTGCTCTGCATTCTCCTCACTTGACTGATGGCAAACTGAGGTTCAGAGAGGTGCAACAACTTGCCAATGTCACACAGCCAGAAGACAGTCATGCTCTTCTCCTAGGTTTCAGGGGAGGCTCAAAGTCCATAGGTTTTTTAAAGACATTTTAATTTCTCCCAGTGATAAGCAGAAACAGCACAGTTACATCACTGATGTACCTGTATAAACCAGTGGGCTTTCCATACAGTACATTTCTGCTGTAATTTTGTAAATGCACAAGTTTTTGTAACTACAACAATGGAAATGCCTGGTAGATAATTATGAAAAGTAGCACACTTGAACCATTATTTTAATCAAGTCCCCTCACTATAAGCCCCTGACGTCTCTCTGTACAGCGGTGTTACATGTAGTATGAAACTCTCCAATGAGCACTATATAGATGTTACTGCGCTACATGAGATGTTAGTTGCAAATCTGGTAGATCAGTCAATTAATTGGCTGTACTCATTTTAATATAAATGGTTATTAAATGGAGAAAAAAGACCAAGGCATTTTGGAACAGACTGAACTTACAGATTATGAGTGCATAAAAACCACAGCTTTTGAGTGTTCCATTGGAAAGGAATTGGATGCTACTGCAGCCCAAGTCTTACTTTCTAGGGTACAGAAACAAGATTGCAGATCTGCTAAATTAGAAAGATCTTTGAGGTTAAAATTCTCTCCTTAAAGGTATAGTTATTAAATTCAAGTAATGAGAGCTAGATAATTTAATATTCCAACCTTAATATGTTAGCATAAAAAGTGTATGAGTTATCAGACATTTCATGGATTGTCTAATTAGAATCCACACAGGGATATTCAAGTTTAGGTGATATACATTATAAAACAAGGCCCAGAGACAAGATGACTCAAAACTAAAATCTCTTAGAAGGCAAAGTATAGAGGTATACATAGAGTATGAGCTACTTTTAGGTTTGCAGACATGTAAGAAACATCTAGGGTAAAGAAAATAAGAAATATTTATCCACCTGTGGGGAAATGGGTAACTGGAAAGGGGTATGAAGTAGAAAGAAGGCATTTTCATTGCCGAATTTTAAGTTTGAACCATATGACCATATTACCTGAGCAATAAACAATTCTTTAAAAAATTACAGGCATCTGTTGGCCTTGAAATACCAAGCCTGTGTATTTGGTCAAGAGAAATAAGAAATACGTTCATTTGTACAAGAATATTCATAAGGAATGTTTTCATAATAGCCCCAAACAAGAAATAACCTGGATATCCATCTATGAGAAAATGAATAAACAAACCATTACATAGTCCTACAACGGAATACTATACAGCAATAAAAAGAACAGATTACTGACACAAGCAACAACATAGATGAATTGCAAAGACATACTGAGTAAAATAAGCCAAATGTAGCAGAGTACATCCTGCATAATTCCACTTATATAAGGTACTTGAATAGGTAAAACTGATCTATGGTAGAAAAAAAAATCACAACAGTAGTTGCCTATGGAGATGGTTGTACATGGACAGGGACTGGCTGGGAAGGGGCATGAGGAAACTGTCTCTTGAAAATATTGGAGCTCTTGATAGGGTTTAGATTAATATTTGTGAAAATTCAGCAAATGTTATACCTAGGATGTATGCATTTCACTGTTATGTGTAATTTACCTTAAGAAAAACAAACCATAAACAAGTATTGAATTCTGGTTAATATTATGCATACTAATATGAGAATCAAACTGTGCTGATATTTATAACCTTCTCTGAAATGCACCAAAAAATAAGATGGATTAATGGATAGATAGATATGTGATAAGGCAAGAGATAAAAGCAACCACACATCCCTCTCTTTCTCCCTCCCTTCCCTTCTCCCTGAAGGTAAGGAAATAAATACAATCTTTTAAAAAATGCGCTGAACAACTTGAAATATAATAAAAGGCTGAAGAGACAAAATAGAAAACTTTTTAAAAATGAACATGTGTGGCTTTTAGTAAGAACAGTTATCCCAGGGTTATAATGAAGACTTTATGAGAGAATGCATCAATCTGCACAAATCTCCCAATAACCAACCATACAAGCATGCATTCATGGGCAAAATTTAGTGATCACTTACTATTGCCAGGCAGTGTTGGACAGCCCAGAAATGAAACTGGGGCAGTGTGTGAGATTCCTGTTCTCAGAGTTCTAAAATGGGGGGAGGAGATAGGCAGGCAAACAAACAGACCGGCAAATGACAAATGCTTCAAGAATAAAATAGCTGACAATAAAAACAGAGTGCATGGGGCAGAGGAAGCAGTTAGAGGAGATTTGAAGGCTCAGTCTTGAGAAGATCTGGGAATGGTTTTCCAAGCTGCAGACAAAAGCTACAAGAGGTAGGGACCAACTCACTGAGGTACCGAGAGCCAAGTAATGGGAGATGTGTGGGAGAGTAAGTAGGTAGGAGACAAATCACAAAACCGCAGTTAAGAGTGATAGGAAGGCACCAGAGGGTTTTAAGTAAGAGGATGACAGGACTTGATTTGCATTATGTAGATCACTGGTTCCTGTGTCAAGAATGGATTACAGACGTACAAAAGCCACAGTGAGGGGCCCAGTTTTAAATGAACTGTAATAGTTAAGACAGGATAGTAGCTCAGACCAGCAATGTAGCATTAGAGGGTGCAAGGGGACAGAAAGATTTAGGATTTATTTAGGAAGAGGAAAAAGGATTTACAGCATACCAAATGACAATAAATATATGCCTCCGTTATGCTAAGTGAAAGAAGTTGAACACGAAAGAGGACTCGCAGTATGATTCTAAAGCTTAGTGACAGAAAGCAGGT